ACTGTAGCATAATGCTGTTCCTTTGGCAATAGCTTTCGACTGAAATACAATACAGGATGGTCAAATCCTTGATAATCACACTGACTCAGAACAGCCCCTACTCCATAATCTAACGCATCTGTTTGCAGTACAAATGGTCTGGTAAAATCTGGACTACGTAAAACTGGTGATGAAGTCAGTGCAGCTTTCAGAGCCCGAAATGATTGTTCACAATCGTCCATTTGACTTGTTGTGGTTGTGACTTCCTTGTAGCTTCTGTTAGTGGAACTGCTATTGTTGCAAACCTGGGGATAAACCTTCGGTAATATCCTGTGAGACCTAAGAAGGCCCCCGTACATGAGTTTTTGATTCCGGCCGAGGAAAATCTTTAATCACTTCCAATTTGTCTTTGACTGGTGCTACCTTTCCTCCTCCAATAACATGACGCAGATAAGTACATTCCTTCACAGCAAACTGACACTTAGATGGTTTCACTGTAAGTCCTGCCTCTTGCAATCGTCCTAGTACTGTTGCTAACTGCTCCAAATGGTCCTCCCATGTTGCACTGAATATTACAAGGTCATCTAGATAAGCATGAGCAAAACTGTGCAATCCTTCTGTAATGTGGTCCATAAGCCTTTGAAAAGTGCTGGAGCACCACTGAGGCCAAAAGGCATTACTTTAAATTGGTAGCGTCCAAAGGGGCTTATAAAGGCAGTTTTATGACGATCTTCCTCGGCCACAGGGACCTGCCAATATCCTCTTGCAAGGTCTAAAGTTGTAAAGTAATTAGCTTGTCCTATCTGATCCAGAATATCATCTATCCGCAGCATGGGATAGGCATCAATCTCCGTCTGTGCATTTAGTTTCCTATAATCCACACATAATCGTAGAGTGTTGTTTTTCTTCCTGACAATCACCATAGGAGATGCCCAATCACTCTTTAATGGTTCTATTACTCCTTCCGCCATCATGTCCTGGATCTCCTTGTCCACTTCTGAATGATAAGCATATGGAATCCGATATGGAGTTTGACACACTGGACGACAGGACCCTGTCACAATTCTATGCTCAGTAATTCTTGTATGTCCTGGTTTTCCCTTAAGTACTCCTCCAAACTGCTCACAAAGGTTCTGTAACTGCTCCTTCTGTTGTTTTGACATGTATTACCCACTGTCAATGGTGAGCTCTCAAATCTAGTGTTCCCGTCTGCTAACTCATCCTCATCATCCTTACACAAGTTATTCTCCTTACCATCCTCTGTCTTTTCCCTCACTTCGTCACAATAATAGTTAGCAACCTCTTTGTCTTCCTGCCACTCTCTTAACAAATTGATGTGAAAGATCTTATTTCTCTTTGAAATCTGCACCTCGTAGTCAACTTTTCCAATTCTTCGAACAATCTTATACAGTCCTCTCTATTGGCCAGTAAAATCGTTGTTGGATTCTACGAACTGTCTTGTCCCGTCCCATATGTCCAGCAAGGGGTATTGTATCTGCCAATTCAATCACTTTCTTCCTACATACTAGGGGTATGACCAGCTGCTCGACCGATTCCCCTGTGTAAGTCTTGGATGTCCAGCAACGATACAAAAGTCCCTCTTTCTTCAAGAAGTTGGGTTTTTCTCTAAGCCTTGAATCGTTTTGTCTTTTTCTTGTAATCGGCCTTATTTCCTCCT